TTTTTGTCTTTTTTTTTTTTTTTTTTTAGACAGGGTCTCACTGTGTAGTTCAGATTGCCCAGAAACTCACTATGTAGTCTAGGCTGGTCTCAAATTCACAGTGATCCTCCTGCCTCAGCCTCCCAAGTGCTGAGATTACAGGCATGCACCACCATGCCCGGCAGTATAGATTTTAAATACAAAAGAAATATATTCATCATAGAAAGTTGGAACATACACATGACACATTTTAGGCCTTTTATCTCCCCCTTTCCCTCCTGGCATGTTAACTCTTTAATGCAACAGAAAAGGTTTGTCTCTCTCTCTCTCTTTTTTTTTTTTTGTACCAGGGATCGAACCCAGGACCTTGTGCTTGTGAGGCAGAAGAAAAGGCTATTCAAAGTTATCTCTGCTGAGAGCCCAGACTCCTCTCCTGAGTTTTATGTTCCAGAAATATATAAATGTTTGGATTTCCTAAAGAAAATCATATGCTCAAGTTTCTATGCTTTGAACATACCAGTCTCTCATCTGGACAAAATGCACATAAGGCCTTTTCTTTAAGAAAATACACAGTCAGAATATGTGCTTCCCTTTTTAAGAACAGGAGATAGTTTCCAACAGGTTAAATGTTAGCAGGGTTTGAAGGCCAGAGAAAAATCTCAAAGCAAATGTGTGTTTGAATTACACAGTATTTACGGTTATAGAATTTCTGACACCTAAGGAGAAAAAAGAAAGAATACTCCCAGCGCTAATGAAACATGTGAGCTTTTCTTTCCTGTAAAGATATTTATAGCTGAATTCTTCTTCAGGCTTTAAGCAACTTTAACTGAATTCTATAAATGAAAAGCATGCATTGGTTGGGAAACTAAAAATGATTTATAAAATCAGATCAGATAATAAAAGTGATTCTGCAATACTTTACTACGCTTTTTCTTAAATTGAAAAGGCATTAAATCTGGTCATGGGGGCATGTGCCTGTAATCCCAGAACTTGGGAGGCTGAGGCAGGAGGATCACAAATTTTAGCCCAGTGTCTTGAGACACTGTCTCAAAATAAGAAATAAAAAAGGTCTGGGGATGGAGCTCAGTGTGAAGGCTCTGAGTTCAATCCCCAATACCACTAAATAAATAAATAGGCCATTAAGCTTGTGTGATTATGTGATCAAGAGAATGATGTGGGTCTGTCTCTCTCAACGCAGCTGGACATGATAGTGTATGCCTGTAATCCCAGCACTCGGGATGCTGAGGCAGGAGGACTGCCACGAGTTTGATGTCAGTACATAATGAGTTCAAGGCCAGCTAGGACTACATAGCGAGACCCTGTCTGAGAAAGAAAAAAAAAATAAAATAAAAAGCAAAGCAAGAGTGCCTCTGTTTTTACACTCAAATTCCCAAGATTTGAGAGGCAGTCCTGCTAATCTCTTTCCTCCCCAATGCAGGCAGTTGAAAGCGGGGCCTTCCTCCAGGCCTCTTGTGGCTTTAATGCAGCGATGACTTGCATGAGGTTTGTTCCCCAAGGGTCCATGTGTTGGAATCTTGGTCCTCAGTGGGGTGATGTTGCGAAGTGGTGGTACCTTTAAGAGGAGGGGCTTATGGAGAATCCTCATCTTTGGGGGCACCGGCCTCAGAAGAGATGAAGTAGTTCTTAGGGTTTTCCACAGAGGGTTGTTTTGGGGGTTGGTTGTTTTTTGTTTTTGAGGTATTAAGGATTGAACCCAGGGCCTTTGCACTGAACTACAACCCTAGCCCATTTTTTAAGGGTTTTATTTGTTTTGTTTTGAGACAGGGTCTCACTAAGTTGCTAAGTTGCCCAGGCTGGACTTGAACTTGTGATTCTCCTCCCTCAGCTTCCCAGAGTGCTGAGATGACCAGGGTGCACCACCGCGCCCAGCCAAGAGGGTTGTTACAAAGGAGAAAGCCTCTCTCTGAATCCCACATTGGCTCCTGTCTCACACGTTCCACCAGTGCAATGTCACCTACCATGAGCTCCTCACTAGAGCTGAGCCAGCGCTGGTGTCAGGCCCTTGAATCTCCAGAACTTTGAGCTAAATAACCCTCTTTCCTTTATAAATCACCCAGCCTCGGGAATTTTAATTATAGCAAGAGAAAACAGACTAAGACAGTTGTGATGCAGAGATCACCCTCTGAGGTCTATGTGTGCAGCCCTGGACAAACTGCCCGTCCCCTGGCAGAGGGAAAGGAGTCACGGCGGCTGGGATGCACACGCTTAGGTTCCCGTTTCGTTGGCTGAGGTGAGTCAGGGGGCCAGGTCTGCCATCCACGGGGGACCTTTCAGGAAAGACAGAAACGCTGGTGGACAATAACGCGATCTGCCACCCCTGGGGACCCCGGTGCTGTTTCCACATATTTCCACGATCCCTTCTCCAAACTTGCTTTGAGTCTGATGCCATTGAATGGTGGAACTTCCCCCAGCAGACCCTGCGCGGATATTTAGACCCTCTTCTATTCTTCACAGTCTGCGTCTTATTTGGTCCCTTCTCCTCCCTCACACCCATATCAGATCCCTTAGAATGTCCTAGAGACTAATGTCACTTCTCTAAGACCCCATAGAAGCCACGCCCTCTCAAGCCACCACCGTCTCGCGCCTGCGCAGCCCCTGCATCAGCGTCTCATCCACCCAGCATCCGGGGAATAACTCCGTCCTTGGCTCGGCAGCCCCACCACCACCAGAGGGGGATTTGAAATCCCCAGCCTTTTCTAGAAAACTCTGCCCAGCGAGGCCTCTGCTTGGTGTGTCAGTCCGGCCACTGCTCCTGCTCTCTTCACTCCTGACTGCAGCACACCCGGGCCTTCCTCGGGATTGAGTTGGTTTGCAGCTCACGCGCGCCCTCTACTGCCACCTCTGAAGCTGCCCAGGTGACTCACCCGGAGTCCACGCCGCACAAAGACGGGAGCTGTCTCCTTGACCTGCTGTCCCCAGTATCGTGACCCTGCTCAGTAGATATTTGTTCGATGGGAAAATAAATCTGCTGTGTGAAGGCTGAGAAAATTTAATAAATCGTTTATTAACATGCAGTGGTTCACAATATGATGGTACTGGTAATTAATAGATGTGATTATTATTAATAATTACTAAATTAGTTTTCTAGATATCTTGTCTTCTTGAGTTGCTGTAACAAAAGAACTTAGTCTGGGTAATTTATAAATGATAGAAATGCATTGCTCCCGGTTCTGGAGACTAGGAAGTCCGAGTTCAAGATGACGAGTGCATCTGGTTATCCTCGTAGATGCCGTCTATGTGTCCTCCCATGGTGTAAGGCAACACTCCTCTCTGGGGCCGTTTGTATGTGTGTGCGGATGTACTGGGGGCTAAACACAGGGCTTTGCACTGAGCTACATCCTCAGCCCTTTGACTTTTTTTTTTTTTTTTTTTTTTGTATCAGGGATTGAGCTCAGGACCTTGTGCTTGCAAAACAGGTGCCACTGAGCTAAATCCCTGGCCCAGCGCTTTTACTTTTGAGACAAGGTCTCACTAAGTTGCTAAATTGCCCAGGCTGAGCTCAGCTTGGCAGTCCTCCTGCTTCAGCTTCCCTGAGTGCTGGGATTACAGGTGTGCACCACCACACTCAGCTTGGGACCTCTTTTAAAAGGGCATTAGTGCCATTCACCAGGGCAGGGGCCTCATGAGCTAATTCCCCCACCAAACAGCCCCATCTCCTAATACCCAACACGGGTGTGACTAGGTTTCAATACAAGAATTTAGGGGAGGGGACATAAACATTCAGGTCAATGCACCGGCTTAATGGAGACACAGAAGAGGTCTGGAAGCCCAGACAACTGCACCACCCTTGGATAATTGTTAGTCCCCAACCTATCTAACATCATTCCCTTCCTGCAATTCCCTCTGTGCTTCTAGATCTCATAAAACACTGGGCCTGAGGCTGGGAGTGTCCTTCAGTGGCAGGGCTCTTGCCGAGCACGTGTGAGGCCCTGAATTTTTTTTTTTTTTTTTTTGAGACAGGATCTCACTATGTAGTTGAGACTGACCTGGAACTCACTATGTAGCCCAGGCTGATCTCGAACTCACAGCGATCCTCCTGCCTCAGCCTCCCGAGTGCTGGAATTACAGGCATGTGCCACCACACCCAGCTATGGGCCCTGATTTTTATCCCCAGCTCTGAGTGGGCGGGGGAGTTTTACTTCCCAATCCTACTGGGAGAAAGCAGTTTCATGCCTTCCAAGTGTCTCCTGCCCTCCCATCCTCCCCAGCTCCTGCTGTTCACAGCTCTCCCTGCCTTCCTCCTCAGCGTGATCCCACCCTGGGGCTCCCACACACCCATGCCTGGGCGTCTGCACAAGTCTGGAGTCTTGGCAGATGGGCACTGCCTGTCCTCAGACTCATTCCTGAGTGGAAGGACTCAAAACCCTGCACAGAGATGTGATGGGGACCGCATGGCAGGCCTGGCTCACTGAGTCATCTACCAAGCCAGCCTGCACTTTGGGGGACGTGGATAGCGTGGAAAGGTCTCGCTCCATTGTCCCTGTGTCAAATCACAGTTGCTCCTCCGTTTCTACCACTGTAGCACTGGAGGCTGTGTTTGTCTGCTCGGGCTGCCATAATAAAGTACCACGGGTTAGGCAGCTTCAGCAACAGCAGTGGATTTTCTCACAGTTCTCAAGTCCAAGACCAAGGTGCTGGCAGGTTTGATCTCTCGTGAAGGCTTTCTGTGGGACTTGCATTTGGCTGCTTTCTCACCATATCCTCACGTGTCTCCCTCTCTCTCTTTCCTTCTCTTGTTCTCCCTCTCCCCTCTCTTCTGTAATCAAACCCAGGTATCTGTGCAAGCCAAGCAAATCATCTACCACTGAACTACACCCACAGCCCCAAGTTCCTTCTTTTTTTTAAATTTGTTTTCAGCTTTGAGTTTATTGGTACATTTTAGGGATACAGTACAGTTACATTCATGGTTGGGATCTTGTACCTCCACATGACAAGTCTTGATTCTCATTTTTTCCCCTAACCCCTGCCCTCCCTTCACCCCCTCCTCCTTCTTTTATAAGACATAAGTCAGACTGGATTAGGATGTGCCCTGGCAGTCTTACTGTAGGAACTTTTTTTTTGGAGGGGTACCGGGGATCGAACTCAGGTCCTTGCACTTGTGAGGCATGCGGCAAAACCACTGAGCTAAAACCCTGGCCTTTATCAGAGGAACTCTTTAATGGCCCTGTCTCCAGTCATGTTTAGACATTCCCTTGTTTAAGGACATTATCCATGCCTTGGGGTTCTCTGCATGAGAGGAATCATATTGCACAGAGGAGTGAATGTGTTTATTGTTCACAAAAGCTAGGAACAAGATACAGTGACTTTTTAAATGAACAGGCACAATTACTATATGTCAACTAGGTTTCTAATTCAATGGCAGAGAGAAGGAAAGGGTGGGAGCCCAGACACCTCGCTCTTTTCTCTTGGCTGAGGCACTGTTGACGCCTTTAAAAGACCAGGAGACATAAAATAGTACAGTTCCCAATTGCAGGAATCAGTATCTCAAAACAGTCTCAGTTTTCCTGAACTCAGGAAGTGGATGGAGGCCCGGATGATGGAATTAGTAGAAAACAGACTTTCCCTCCCAGCTTTGCTAGAACACTGCATAGTACAGAGCCGTGTGCATTTCGATGGGGAGATGGGTAGAAAATCAGATGTGCACAACTTGTTCAGGGAGCAGGCACTTCTCAATACCCGCCAATAGGAAGGGAAAAGTCACGAGCCTCGGTTTTGCTCAAGGTGAAGCCTGTATCTGAGGATTCCAGGTGCCTGTCCATGCCATGTGATATACTATTGTGGGACAGTGGTGTTTGGTACATAACTATCGACATGAAAATTCAGATGCTATCTTCATACATGATCTGGCAAGGACCAGTTGTAAATGTATTCTGTGTGTGTGTGTGTGTGTGTGTGTGTGTGTGTGTGTGTGTGTTACTGGGCATTGAAGCCAGGGTCTTTACACTGAGCTACATCCCCAAGGCTTGACCCTTGTTTTTTGGGGGGGTTTTGGTACCAGGGATAGAACTTGGGTCCTTGAGACTGCAAGGCAGGTGACAGCAGAACCACTGAGCTAAATCCCCAAACTTAAACTTTTTTTTTTTTTTTTTTGAGACAAGGTTTTAGTATTACCCAGGCTGGGCTCCAACTTGTGATTCTCCTGCTTTACAATATACTTTCTTTAAAAATACATAGAACATTTATAAAACCAAACCCAAAACACCAAATAATAGGCCAAAGAGGAAATCTTATCAAATATCAAATTCCCAAGAACTCATATAATTCAGAATATGTGCATTGAATAAAATTAGAAATCAAATTCAAGATAATCAGAGAAAAACTCATGTATCTAGATATTCAAAATATATTTTTAATAACCTGAGGATTAGAGAAATTGAAATTACATAAACGAATGACAATAAAAGCACCATAGGCCAAGACCTGGGGTATACAGAATAACAAAATAAACACTAAAATGGAAAAGAAACCAGGTAGGTTGGCTCATGCTTGTAATCCCAGCACTCTGGGAGGCTGAAGCAGGAGGGTCACAAATTCAAGCCCAGGCTGGGCAGCTAAGTGAGTAAACAAGACCTTAACTCAAAACAAAGAAGTGAGGGAGGGCTGGTGATGTAGCTCAGTATGAAGGCCTCTGGGTTTATTCCCCAGTACTGAGAAATAAAATGAAAAAAGGAATGAGTAATAACTGAAACAAATTGATTAAACACCCCTTCAAAAAATAAATGAAGAGGTTGTCAGTAAAGTTTTTTAAAAAGTTGGTTTTTTAAAAGACCAATAAAACTATCAAATTCTTGCCAAGTTTAACTCAGAAAAATAAAACGAATATCAGGAAATAGACACGTGTTCCTTAATGATGGGGATGGGCACCGTCACTAGGTGAGGTTATGCCAGTCTGACAGCACTGACCCTTCCACACCCCCAGCCTCGGTGGGGAGCCTGTTGTTCCTCCGGATGTCACTCTCCGGAGCACAATTATAACACAACAGTATCTGTGTATCTCAGTAACATGAGCATAGAAATGGTACAGCGAAATATAATGTAAAAGGTTTCCGAACAGGGAGGCTTCGTGAGGCACTTACCAAGATCACAGCCTTTAGGACCGGCAGCTGCTGGGGCCTCCAGGAGTGCGAGGGCCCCGCCCAGCACCACACCCAGCTGGAGATGTTACCACACAGCCACACATAGGCTACACCAAATTCAAAACAATTATTTTTCTTTCTTCAATAATAGATGAACCTTAGCTTAGCATAACTTAATACTTTTAAAATTCTTCCACTTTGTGACTCATAATAATTGTACAGCTCTACAAAAATATTGTCTTTTGCTCTCCATTTCCCACGTGTGCCTGCGCACGTGAACACAAGTGTTCTGGGGAACGGGGTTTGGCTCACTGGTTCCACCACCTGCCGCGCAAGCGCAAAGACCCGAGTTCTATCCCCGGTACCAAAAACAACAGAGCAGTGTGAGCACAAGCAATCTAGAGATCGGACCCACCAGGGCCTTTGGGCTGACCCACCTCCCCTGCCCTCTTTGTTTATTTTAATTTTGCGATAGTGTTTTATTAAGTCTCTAAGTCACCCAGGTGGGCTCAGACTTGAGATTCTCTTGCTTCAGCCTTCCAGAGTGCTGGGATTATGAGTCTGTGCTAGTGTGCCATTATTTATTTTTGCTCCTCTTTAGTGTGCATTTTTCTTTATTTTTTTATTTTTCTTTCTTTATAGCCTATTCTTTTTTTTAACTTTTAAACTTTTTTGTTAAAATGCACACATTAACTTCGGCCTACATAGGGTCAGGATGATTGATATCGATCTTCTACTTTCACAACTTGCCCCACTGGAAGGTCTTCAGGACCCTAACAGGCATGGAACTGCCACCTTCTATGAGGACGATCCTGTCTTCTCAAGCCTCTCCTGAGGGACCTGCCTCAGGCTGCATTACAGCTAACTTTTAAAAATTGAGTACACAGAAGTATACTCTAAAATAATGGTTTAAAATAGTATAATATAGTAAATGCATAAACCAAGGCCGGCAAAGTGGCACACATCTGTAACTCCAGCTACTCACGAGACTGAGGTAGGAGGATGGCAATTTAATGAGACAACATGTCTCAAAGTAAAAATAAATAAGGCTAGGGTATAGCTTGGTGGTAGAGCACCCCAGAGTCCAGTCTCCAGTACTGAAAAAAAAAGAAAGCAGAAGCCAGTAAGAGTCACTTATCATCATTACCAAGTATGATACACGGCACACAATTTTGCATGCTGTACTCAGATAAAACTGGAAGACACAAACATGAGAGATGCATTGGGCTTGAGTGTCACTAGGGGACAGAAGTTTTCCAATGGGACCATTGTTGGTTTTTGTTTGTTTGTTTTTGTTTTTGTTTGGTACTGGGCCCTTGCACTTGCGAAGCAGGTGGCAGAACCACTGACCTAAATCCCTGGCCCTGGGACCATCACTGTAATGTGGTATAATATAATTCAGAATGTGACTGTATAACTTCAGATAGAACTGACTTGTAAGAAATAATATGCATAAACTGGGCACGGTGGCACACACCTGTAATCCCAGCAAGCAGGAGGCTGAAGCAGGACGATCACAACAAGTTCCAGGTTAGCCTGGGCTTTTTTTTTTCTTTCTTTCTTTCTTTCTTTCTTTCTTTCTTTCTTTCTTTCTTTCTTTTCTTTCTTTTTTTTTTTTTTTTTTTTTTGTATCAGGGATCAAACTCAGGACCTTGTGATTTTGAGGCAGGCAGCAGAACTACTACGCTAAATCCCCGGCCCAGCCTGGGCTACACAATGAGTTCAACACCAGCCTAAACTACATAGCAAGACCATGTCTCAACAAACTAAAATAATAATAATAGCAGAAAACTCATCAGATCACATTAATAAATGCATAAAAAGGGCTGGTGATTTAGCTCAGTGGTACCATACTGCCTTGCAAGTGCAAGGTCCCAAGTTCTCTCCCCGGTACCAATAAATAAATAAATAAATAACATTTGACAAAATTCAACATGTGTTCAGCTCTTAGCAAATTAGTAATACAGCATAATAAATGATAAAAGACTTCTAAAAACCTATTAAAATATCATACTTAATAGTGTAATCCTTTTGGGGGGGTACTGAGCCCTTGTGCTTTCGAAGCAGGTGGCGGAACAGCTGAGCTAAATCCCCAGCCTTTAATAATGAAATTTTAGGATTATTCCCTTAAAAGTCCAGAGTAAGACAAGAACTGCTGGGCCTGGGATTTAGCTCAGCAGTTCCACCACCTGCCTTGCAAGTGCAAGGACCCAAGTTCGATCCCCGGTGCTAAAAAAAAAGACAAGAACTGCCATTAATATCACTCTCATTCAACACTGTATTGGAACTCCTAGTCAAGGGGAAGGGTGGATGAGAAGTGCAATAAAGACTGGAAAGGCTGAACAGTGGTTTTTTTTTTTTCTGTCAACATCTAGCTAGAAAAGTGAGAAGATAATGAGTTCAACAAAGTAGTCAAATCTTAGATCAACATTTTAAAAAGTCAACAGCATTAGGAAAAACAAGTAAAATCTCAGTCATAAGTAAAGCTAGGAATGATGGTACACTCCTGTAATTCCAGCACTCAGATGGCTGAAGCAGGAGGATTCCTACAAGTTCAAGGCCAGCCTGGGGTACTTAGTTCCAAACCAGCAGTGGAGGGAATAAGAAGAAAATAAAAGAGGGAGAGATGGAGAGACTGAGAGAAGGACAGAAAAAAAAAAGGAAGGGAAGGAAGGAAGTCTTCATGAGAGATCTGAAAAAAGCATGTACAAAGTATCCTGGGAGGGTCAGGGGTAACGGTGTGTACCTGTGAACCCAGGCACTCCAAAGGCAGAAGCAGGAGGATAGAAGGTTTTAGTCCAGCCTAGGAAACTTCGTGAGACCTTTTCCCAGAATTAAAAATGAAAAGAAGAGCCGGGCGTGGTGGCGCACACCTGTAATCCCAGCACGTGGGAAGCTGAGGCAGGAGGATCACTGTGAGTTCGAGACCAGCCTGGGCTACCATAGTAAGTTCCAGGTCAGTCTCAACTACACAGTGAGACCCTGTCTCAAAAAGCCAAAAAAAAAAGAAAAAAGAAAGAAAGAAAGAAAGAGAGAGAGAGAGAGAGAGGAAGGAAGGAAGGAAGGAAGGAAGGAAGGAAGGAAGGAAGAAAGAAAGAAAGAAAGAAAGAAAGAAAGAAAGAAAGAAAGAAAGAAAGAAAGAAAAAGGCTGGGGGATAGCTCAATGGTAAAACTCCCAGGGTTTAATCCCCAGTACTAGAGAAAAAAAGTAGCATGAGCAAATTATATTCATGCCCAAGGATGAAAGATTTACTAGTGCTAAGAAATGTTTTCCCAAAATTAATAACTTATTCATTACAGTTGCAGTCAAAATCCAAAAATTTTTCATGGAACTGAGAAAATCCATTCCACTTCCCCGTTACCACTGTAGCATCCACCCAGGTTTAGACCTTGGAGTTCTCTCTGGAGTTCGGGCAACAGACCCCACTGTAATTCCTCTCTTCTTTCCTGATCTCCAGGCCCTTCAGAAACGGCCAAGTGAAATCAAGGCCCAAAATTTTGCCATTCACAACTTTACAAGTCTGGAACAAGTCTATGAACCTTCTCGGGACTCAATTTCTCCATTCTTTCAGTTTTAATAATTGTGGTGATGGTGGTGAATTTTTAAAACTCCCTTTGCTTTTTGTTTTGCTGTCTATAGTTCTGTAGCCTTGGCCAATGGTACGGTGTGTGCAAACACCTGGCACAAACTGTGTATTAAACCCCATCGAAATGGAAACTCATATTATGGGAGGAAGGTGGGTTTTCCAGAATGCAAGTTCTGATTGCGGAAGCAGAGGAAGTGGGGTGGGGGGTAGACGTGGCTGTGACATCCCCTAGGACAGTAAACCCATCAGCTAGCCCTATCTACCTTGCCCAGGCCGGGTCCCCCAGCTCACTGGAGCCATCACCCCTGAAGCCCGCGGTTTAGGGTTCTCCTCCCGGGGTGCCGGATCCTGACGAAGGACTATATTTCCCAGCGTGCACCTCGGATCGGGGGTCCCCAGGGAACCGTCCGGGTGCGGGGACCCTGTCTGGCTACATCTGAGGTTCCGGACAGAAACCACCGTTCACTCAGCTCCTGTATTTCTCTTTGCTCAACCCTACCCTGGACTGTGGTCTCCGCGGGGCCAGAGAGTAGTGTTGGCCCAGTCCACCGGGCGCTAAGCAGGGTCCGAAGTGAGATTTCTCTCATCCGAGGCCTCCCTCGGCCCCGAGGGGTCCCCACTGCGGCCGAAG